AGGAGAGCGGGCTGAGGATGGGCAGGCAGAACTAGGCAGGGGCGCTGTGGACAGCAGGCCGGAGGTCCTGGCACCTCGCCCAGGAACGAGGGTGGGTATTTTTGAATGTAGAGCTGACCACACGTGCTGATGTAAGAGAAGAACTGAGGGCGGCTGTTGACATGGGGAAGTGGGCGGTGGGTCCGTGGTCCCTGCCTGTCTCTGCCTGACCCCCTTAGTAAGCCAGTGGACACACAGCTCCCTCAGGGCACGTCTCCTTTGCCTGCTGAGAACCGGAAATCGGTGCTGGTGGACGAGGCTGATGATGGCACTGGGGTGGGTACAACGGCCTCCCCCGACCGTGCTTGGGTCCCAAGGACCGGTGCCTGTGCCCGACCTTGTGTAGTCTCGGGGTACAACGGCCTCCCCCGACCGTGCTTGGGTCCCAAGGGCCGGTGCCTGTGCCCGACCTTGTGTGGACTCGGGGTGAAGAACACAGCAGAGGGAGAGCATGGGGAGTGGCAGAGGGCTGCAGCTTCAGAAAAGGTGTTCAGGGGGGACCTCTTTCAGGAGGGCGCAGGGGGCAGACTGCAGGCATGTCATGTGTGGGGGGGGGAGTCCTGCCGGCAGGAGAGCGGGCTGAGGATGGGCAGGCAGAACTAGGCAGGGGCGCTGTGGACAGCAGGCCGGAGGTCCTGGCACCTCGCCCAGGAACGAGGGTGGGTATTTTTGAATGTAGAGCTGACCACACGTGCTGATGTAAGAGAAGAACTGAGGGCGGCTGTTGACATGGGGAAGTGGGCGGTGGGTCCGTGGTCCCTGCCTGTCTCTGCCTGACCCCCTTAGTAAGCCAGTGGACACACAGCTCCCTCAGGGCACGTCTCCTTTGCCTGCTGAGAACCGGAAATCGGTGCTGGTGGACGAGGCTGATGATGGCACTGGGGTGGGTACAACGGCCTCCCCCGACCGTGCTTGGGTCCCAAGGACCGGTGCCTGTGCCCGACCTTGTGTAGTCTCGGGGTCTTGGCAGGTGCAGGCAAGCTAAGACGAGCACACGCTGGATTAGGGTGGCCCAGGCCAGTGACTGGTGATTTTTTAAGAGGCCATTTGGGCACGGCACGGAGACCCAGGCAAGACCACCGTGTGGAGACAGATGGACTAGAGTGACGGAGCCAGGCAAGGAGCACTCAGGTTGCTGGCCGACATGGCGCTGGAGAGGCTGGGGCAGGCTCTGCCTCTGAGCCTCTGGAAACAGCCCCCACCCCCCATTCCACACTTCTGGTCTCCAGACTGAGAGCAAATTCCTGTTGCTTCAGGCCACAGTTTCTGGTCTTTGCTGAGGAGCCACGGAAGCCAGTACAACCGCCAGCTATTAGCACTCCTCACTCCAGGGCCACGAACACCTTACCCCACAAAGTCCCCTCAGCGCCACCCAAAGCTGAGTATCGTGGGCCTCCCTTCTGTACAGATGAGGAAATCAAGGTTCAGCAAGTCACATGACCTTCCAAGGTCAAGCGCTAGCGCGTGGTAGAACTTGACAGGTACCAGGTCTTCTCATCTGGCGTCCGTGCCAACCATCAGGAGCCAGGATCCCCGGCTCACTCGTCATCTGCTCTGCAGCCAGACGCCCTGCGCTCCCCACTCCGTTCTCTGCGGTCGCTGGAGGCCTGCTGTCTTCACGTCTCCCCAGAAGATGTGTGGGTAGCAGGTGTGGCTTGGGTTTGATAAGAACGTCACTGCACACATCCTTTCCTCTGGTTGGAATGCCACCGGCAGAGGAAGGACAGCGAACAAACAGCCCCTCCTGCCCCCGCCCCGTTGCTATTGACTGAAGTGGAAGCTCCTGACCATTAATCCAAGGCCTCTTCCACCTAAAGGAACACATGCCGTCCGGGCCGGAGCGCCGGCTGCCTCCTGCCATTCTCCCTGCTGATGCTCAGGGCCCAGGAGAGAGGTCAGGGCTTCTCAAGCCACTTGTTGCGAGGAACCAGGGCCGTGTCCATCCTGTCGCGGGCACGCCACCGAGCCCAGCTCATCGCGATGAGCGCGTGGTGTGAGTGGGGAAAGGCAGTGACTCTCCCTCTGAGGCTGTGAATTAGTCCACAGGGTCCCAGGTCTGAGCAGGTGGGTGGGAGGGAAAAGGAGGCCCAGCAATAACCTGCAGGCGGCAGCCTCACAGCACAGAACTGGAACCTGGGCCTCGGAGAACGAGAAGGGGTGTGGTTGAGCGTGACTTAGGCCACAGGTGACACAGCAAGAGCCTTTCCTAGCAGACAAGTCACCTAACGCCCCTCTAAAGCAGGGGCAGGAGCAGTGCCCACGCTCCACATTCGCGGGGATTAAAGGAGGTGATGCACAGAGTGCGTAAGACGTGTTGAGGTTATCTTCATGGGCCCAGGCTAGGCCCCTCCCCTCAGGTGTCTATCACTACATTAACAAATCACCCAGAACCCAGAGGTTTAAACCAACAGCAATCATCTCTCATCTCTCGTAGCCCCTGGGGGTGAGGGAATTGGGGTACTCACTGATGGGTCTGGCTCGGGGGTCTGTCCTCTGTGGCCGGAGCTGGGACAGCTGGGGCTGACACCTGGAAGAGCCACCTGGGCACCGGGCTCTGCATGTGGTCGCAGGGTCTTTCCGTGTGGCCTCATTCTGTGGCCTCACCAGCACAGTGACCTCAGGGCTCCAGAGGCAGGCGCCCAAGAGAAACGGACAGAAGCTGTTGCCTTGGAACCCACCTGGGGCCACGTGCACTGGTCGGGTGGGGACACATGCGTTGTGTTATTATTGAGCAATATTCCTGTAGGATGGCAGCTTCTTTGAAAAAGTTGAAGGGGAATAAGAGGCATAAACTTCCAGTTATAAACTAGAGGCCCGGTGCACGACATTCAGGCACTGGGGGGGAGGAGGGGACGGTCCTTCAGAGTGGGCCTAAGCCACAGTCAGATACCCTTAGCGCTACTGCAGAGGCCGGAGAGGCTCCTGCCACCGCTGCTGCTCTCCCCAGCCATCAGCCTGGCCTGTGTCTGAGCGGCCTACTGACCACCAGGGGGCAGCTCCTGTGCTGAGCGTCTACCCCCTAGTGATCAGTGCACATCATAGAGACTGGTCCTTCTGCCGTTCGGTTGACTTGCATTTTACCCTTTTATTATATGGGATAATCACAGGAATGTAGAGGAAGCACAGGGAACAGCCAGTCGTCCCTAATAACTTTGTAAGCTGACCGATGAGTACTAGATTTATGGGGGATCACATCATCAGGCACACAAATGTGGAATCACTAGCTTGTACACCTGAAACTAAAATAATGCTGTGTGCCAACTAGACTTTAATACAAAAAGAAAAGGAAAGCTTGATCAGAATATTAGGGAAAAAGGAAAAGTCCCTTCTCCCCGTGAATGACTGCCGAGACGTTGTTAGGAAGATAAGACAGAAGGAGCGTTTTACTTCGGGACACCGCCTCACCCCCATAGTGCGTGAGTCAGTTTTGATGGTACCTCAGAGTCCCTCACAGCAGCACATTTGGTGCTTAGACTCCAGAGGAGAGGAGGCGATGGTTAGAGTGCAGACCCGGGCCACGCCCAGAGCCTTCTGGATGGGAGGAGGGCTGGGAATCTGTGCTGAGCTGGGGCCCCGGGGATTCTGACACAGGCCAGAGGCACTGTCTCTTTGTAAAGAAAGGAACTTGCAGCAACTGGCGTGGCTCAGTGGTAGAGCATCGACCTATAAACCAGGAGGTCACGGTTTGATTCCCAGTCAGGCAGGGGCACCTGCCTGGGTTGTGGGTTCGATCCCCAGTGTGGGGCCCCCAATGTGGGGTGTGCGGGAGGCGGCCGATCAATGGTTCTTTCTCATCATTGATGTTTCTATCTCTTTCTCTCCCTTTCTCACTTAAATCAATAAAAATGTAAAAAAAAAGAAGAAAGAAAGGAACTTGCCCTTGTGTTAAGGGCTTCCTGATTTTGTATTTTCATTAAGACTTTGAGCTACTCAAGCGATAGCTTTGTCTTATAGGATCTCTAAGGAACATAAACGCACTCAGACTAACTTAATTTAAATGTAAGGTTTCTAATGGGACACAACCCAGCCTCCTGAGAGGCTGGGACCGGGAGCTGGAAGCGAGGTCTCCGCTCACTCTCCACCTTCTCCTCATACGTCTGTTTTCTTCTTCTTCACCTGCATGTGGTGAAACGAACCACTGTCGGCAGCTCTGTGTGTTCTCTCAGGGCCCAGGACTGACTACTTGGAGTCTCCTAATTGCAAATTCTTAGGGAGAGAATCTGATTGGCTCAGCTTAGGTCAGCCATCTACCAATCAGCTATGGCCAAGTGGGTCCACTGCCCAATCAGAAGGTTCTTCTTTAGAGGCTTCTAGGGAATGGTACCTGCTGGTCACTGCTCCCGCTGGCGCAGCCCCGACCAGTGACAATGTTGATGTGTCGTGAGCCACACCAATGACTAACCTGCCTTGGCTGGGACCAGGCTCAGGGACGGAGGCCCCAGGACAACAGGAGAGGCGCTGGAATACCACCTTCACCATCCTGTGATCAGGTCTGAAGTCTTTCTCCCGCTCTGGAGCACAAAGTCAGAGCGTGCTGCTGCTGGTTCACTGCTGTACCCCCAGTGCTTACAGGCTCGTAATGAATATTAAGCGAATAAGGGAACAAGAGCCCCATATTTAGTTTGATCAGGAATCCCCTCTTTCCACAAATATTTATCGAACATCTACTGTGTGCCAGGTACTATCCCAGCGTCTTGGGTTACACCGGGGAACAAAACAGGAAACATACCTGCCCTCACGGGGTTATATTAGCCCGTGGCTGGGCATTGACCCATATCCCGAAGGGACCGCTACGTGCCGCTGCTCTGGAACCGTCCGTTGGTTGGGTTGAGCCACTGCAAGTGTGAGGTCTGTGGGTGTTTAGAGCCAGTGGGAGCCCGTGGACAAAGCCGGGGAGATGTGACTGACGAGCTCCCCCGGCGCCCGGCCTCCACCCAGCCTGCCCTGCTGTGTCTCCCCAGGTCATGCTCTCCGAGCGGAAAGGCACGGACGAGCTCTACGCCGTGAAGATCCTGAAGAAGGACGTGGTGATCCAGGACGACGACGTGGAGTGCACCATGGTGGAGAAGCGGGTGCTGGCCCTGCCCGGGAAGCCGCCCTTCCTGACCCAGCTGCACTCCTGCTTCCAGACCATGGTAACTCGTGCGGGCCCGGCGCTCCGCCTCCAGCGGTTCAGTGGGTTTGGGCCAAAGCTGTCTCGGAGGCTCCTGGGTGCTGCCCGTGACGACGGGGGAATGTGGGCCCAGAGAGGCTGCTGAGCACTTAGCACCTCCCCGGGGGCAGGTGCTGCCTCAGCAAAGATGCAGGGACTCAGCCGATGGGTTTGAGGGGTTTTGTAGCCTGCGCAGCAGGGCCTTTCACAGCAAAAGGCCACTTGGGACAGAAATGCAGGACTTTCGGCCTCACAATATGCGATGTAGCAGCAGGTGGGGATGCGGGCAGAGGTCCAGGGCTGTGCTTAGGTGGCGGTGGGCAGCCCTCCGGGCCCTTTGCCTGGGGCTCCGGTACCTTCACCACGTGGCATGGACCTCCTTGGGTGAGGGGCTGCCTGAGGACACAGCCCTCAGAGGACCCTTAGGTGTGAGCTCAGAGCTGTGGCTCCCGAGAGGGGACATTTGTGCTCTAGCTGCTGTAGACTGACTCCAACTCTGAGAGCAAGAGACATCCCTGTAAGACCGCTTAACCTTGTCCCTGCTTAAACTAGACCTTGGCCTCCATACCTAAGGAGGGGAGGCCAGAGCCCCTACTGCAATTATTAGTTTGAATCCTTTAATGAAAAAGCACAAGATTCCCTCATCTAGTGCCTGCTTCCCCAGGGGTGCAGTTCACATGGGAAAGGCAGGATAAATGCTTGATTCGTTCCTGTTGTTTAACAGTTTCTGTGAGTTGGTTCATTATTATGCTCCAAAGGTGACTAATGTTTGCTTTTAAAATAAAATGTTCGAGTTAGGGAGTCAGTGCAAAGAAAAATACAAGTGAGCAGTAATTCACGTCATCTGGGGACTTGGCAAAGATGGGGAGTGAAGGCCTCAGAGAATGCACGTGGGGGCTGCGACCGGACTAGACTAGACCCTCAAGCCTCTAGACCAGCGGTTCTCAACCTGTGGGTTGCGACCCCTTTGGGGGTCGAACGACCCTTTCACAGGGGTCGCCTAAGACCATCGGAAAACACATATATAATTACATATTGTTTTTGTGATGAATCACTATGCTTTAATCATGTTCAATTTGTAACAATGAAATTGGGGGTCACCACAACATGAGGAACTGTATTAAAGGGTCGCGGCATTAGGAAGGTTGAGAACCACTGCTCTAGTCCCTTCCTTCCCAGTCTTCTCTTTTTCCGTCGGTGGTCCCCAAGTTGCCTGGCGGCATCTGCAGGGGACGGGGGCTCAGTCTGGTGAATAGACTGGACGGAGACCTTGTCTCAAGGCGGAGGCAGGGCCCGCAGGGCGGTTTTCAGTTTCAGTTGCGTGTGTTGAGACTGGGAGAAATCAGTCATCTGTGATGGATATTTGCTGAAGTTCAATGTCTTCATTTGTAATTGACTGTTTTAAAAACGATACATTAACTTAGAAATTACTCCTGACTGTTGGGCGGCGTGTCAGTGTGCTTCCTGGGATGGGAGAGCAGGGCCCGGTCCTGTAGAGGCTGTGCCCTGCCTGGGGCCCTCCCGGGAAGAGGTTTGGACCCAGAGAGAGCCCAGAGCGTGCGATGCAGTGGGCGCTTGTCTTGCGTGGTCGGAGCCCACGCTGGAGGCCTGGAGGCCTGGAGGCCTGGAGGCCGGGGCAGTGTCCAGATCCCGCCGGCGTGGAGGGAGCATGGGTCCTGCCCTCATCCCATTGCACCGGTGAGGGGGCTGAGGCCGCACAGCTGGTGCTTCAGGGCCAGGATTGAACCCAGGCAGCCAGGCTCCGAGGGGCTTTGCATTAACTCTGCTTTTGAGTGTGAATCACAGTGTCCACTCCCCTGACACCCTGGGGCGGGACGCAGCACCGCCTGTGCCCGCTCTGCGGGGCCTGTGCCCTCAGGAGCCTTGCCCCTCTCCCACCTGCGCAGACGCGCCTGGTGCTCCATCCCTCAGAGAGGAACTGGCTTCCCGTCGGAGGGCACCATTCAAGCACTTGGTTTCTTCCTGGGCTCCCCAAAGGTATTGCGACAGAGGGGACTGTCACCCCACGTTGCAGGGAAGGATTGACAACCTGGGGTGCTGGGTAGTTCTCCCTAAACATAGCACCGGGCACATGCCCGCTGGACGCGCCTGAGCTTTGCCAGTCCAGTGTGTTGAGCTGCCACCAGAATGGCCTTCATAGTGGTGACGACAAGGATAAGAGCAGAGCTGGCCCTGCGAGTGCCAGGCCGCGCCAGGCCCTGCTCAGCCCCCCGGGGTC